TGAACCGTAAAAAAAACGTCAGCCACGCTCTTTTCAGTCCGTGAAGAAGTCTTCACCGTACGTTAGTTTTCGGACAAGGAAAGGAGAGAGAGCCTCGGGAAGAGGAAAGGAGTCATTATTAATTCTTTCCCCTCTCCCTATACAGTTGAAGTTGAAAAGTAAGCTGTGCATATGTGGAATTGTCGCCTGGCGGAATGCGTGCCGGAGATGATGGTGATTAGATGGACGAGCCGTTTTCACTACCTTCCCTTCCCTTCCCCTCCCCTCCCCTCTCTTCCCTTCTCTTCTCTTCTCCTCTCCTTTCCTTTCCCCTCCCTCCCCATCCCGATTGATCGTAACCCAGAATTTGTCAGCAGCTCTCAGTTTGGTAGTGGAAGCTTCCATTTTGTGAGGAAGGGGGTGTCAGTTTCTTCCTAACATGGAGAAAAGTCTGCAGAGTTTGAAGGTGGGGGATGGGGCCCCATTCATGCTTAACATTACCATTTTGATTGCTTTGATGCCATTTTTGAGCATGTGCAGGGAGAGGGGGGAGGAGGGGATAGAATACCCTACTCAGCAGAGCACAAAGATGTTTAATCACTGTATAGAATCGAATCAGATAGTTTATTTTCTTTGCGGGGGAAAATCATAGAAGGAGACCTTAGAGTTGTTAGCTCATTTTTTTTCCTGGCAGGGTAAAACAGCATGTTATATTGATTCTGCTACTAGAGAGAGTAGAGTAGAGAGTAGAAAGGATTTATTTAAAACAAGGTAACAGCCTCGCATTGCCAACAGTGCCATTTTTATGTTTTTCTGTCTTTTGGAGGGAAATAGTTTTGCTGCATTCAAATGGGCATTCTGGCCATATACTTGATTGTTCTTCTTTATATTACAGCAACTATTTCAAGGCTATTTAATTTTTTACGATGATAGTCAGTGAGGAGCTGTTTATTATGTGCTATACTGGAATTTAGATAAGGTAAAGAATACAGCGGTTGGAGGCAGAATGGAATTTCCCATCTGAGGCAGCACTTTCTGAATTAAATAGTAAACAATGGCTGGGTGTTACTTGAGGTTTTTTTTTTTAAAGCCCTCACTTAAGGATTATGTAAGGAACAACAGCTAGTCCTTGTATTCCACTGCTGCTTGTAAGGGAAAGAGTGTGCCCTGATCCCCTGCCTGTTTTATGCAACAAGAGCTTACACAATGGTAGAGGTTTAAATGCTGATGCAGTGTCTTCATGCACTGCACACAGTCACCTCTGGGGGCTGGACAGGAAATCACACCCACAAGTGACATGAGTTTTCAGGTCTCACTCAGAATACAGAACACAAAGTCAATGAAGTTCAGTTTTAGTTTAAAAACATTCCCTCTTTTCAAGGGAAGGGTCTAAAATTACAGAAGAGGATTAGTGTAAATTTTTATCAATATTATTTTCATTTATATGTAATTTTGGTCTGAAGATGCCCACAGGGGCATCTTGTTGAGATCTGCTTTAACATACTTTAACTCTACTATGGGGAAGAGGAGGAGGAAGACAGGATGGCAGCAGCTGAGGATGGCAGTAGAAGGTGCCCAAACTACACATGTTTTCCTACTTATTCTCAATCCACATATTAGTGAAACTTGTTCAGGTATGAATATCTGAATTACGTTCTGGAAACATTTAAATGACCTTTCCACATATTCTCAATATAACTAATGCAGAACTTTGAAAAGTTACTTAGATTACATTTCCTAGAATTCCTCAGGGGTTTCTAGATGATGTAGTAAAAAATGGGTGTGTGTACACTCACTGTCTTTAACTGTAGTATATTCCACCAGTGTAGAATTCTTTAGCATGTGTTGGAGATCAGCTGGGAAATTCTGTAGGAATGGCAGGAAGCCCCAAATACAAGATCAATTGCATATCTAGAATCAGATTTTCTGTATCTTCTGGTCATTTTATTTTATTTATTTATTTATGAAATTTATATCCTGCCCAATTAGACCACTTCTACTCTGGGCGGCTTACAACAGGAATATCATAAAACAATTAAAAACAACAATTTAAACCAGTAATATTAGTATCATTCAAGATGGAAAAAGTATCGACAAAAGCTAAAATAGAAAAGTAAAAATCAAGTATTGACAGGAGGGCTCAGCTTTCAGAAACATCAAAGATACACAAGCAAAACAAATACAGTTATCCTGATTTGTGAACGGCAGAATAGTGTCTCGATGCACTACTAAATACTTCAGAAAAGAAACATCTACAACTGCGGTAGACCTCCCCCCAGTTTTTTTTCCCTTCTGGCAGAAATCTAAGTTGCAATGAGGACTTTTTATTGGCAGGAAAGGAAGGGGAAGAACTCCCCTTACTTTGAAAAATCTCAGTGGTTTTAACAGAGCTCATTTCAAGTCATTGTGTCTTTGGACTGCACAACCCATATTTAATCATATGTATTTTAAAGGAAACAGAAAATAAAAAAACCATTGACCATATTCTGGCTACAGTCTGATGGAGAGGTATGCAACTGAACACTGGATGGGCTGAGTACAGACTGTTAACTGAACATCCAGCAAGATCTGACCAAAGGCTTATCTGCTCCACCAGTCTGTTTCCCACAGTGGCCAGCCACATGTTGATGAAAAGCCCACAAGCAAGACATGAGCCCTCTCTTGCATATTTTGGCCAGGTACTGGTATTCAGAGAATAACGCTTCCTCTGAACCTGGAGATGGCAAATAAGCATGACTCCAGCACTGGCCAAGATAGCCTTGGCCTCCATGGATTTGTCTAATCTCTTTTTAAAACTGTCTAAGTTGGTGGTGGCCAAGACTTCCTATTGTAGTAATGAATTCCATACTTTATGCACCATATGAATCCCTACTTCCTTTTCTCTGTCTCGAATATCCTGTTATTCAACTTTAGAAGATAGACCCCACTGGGTTTTAGTAGAGAGGAAGGAAGGTCTCTTGCTTTTCTTTTCTTCATGCCATGCATACTTTTACACACCCCTGTCATGTTCCTCTCCAGCATACTGTACTTGCATTCTTTTTAAACAAAAAAGCCGCAAACATTCAAACATTTCCTCACAGAGAATTGCTCCAACCTTCTGATCATTTTGGTTGCCCTTTTGAAAGGCCAAATGCAGAATGTCTTGTCACTATTTATGATGGTTGACATTCTTGAAGAATTTTAAAAGGTTTGTGAGACATGTTATATATGTGAGACCAGCAATTTCACATTTTCCAAGAACTCTCATCCCATAAGAGTGATTGCCCTCAGATGTGACAGTCCTCTGCTCTTGCCTGCTTTTGGTGAGAGGGTCGTTTTAATGCTCTCTTGCCACCAAGGATCCCTCTAAGGTGTGTGGTTGCATGAGCATATGCAACTCTGCCTCCCTCTATGCAGAGCTCCTCCTTGCACTGACAACAATAATTTTCAGCCCCTTTGATTCTTATCAAAATGGAATCCCACACAAGGGGGGGAATTGCATGAGAGAGGCAAAGC